CATTGGGTGTAAAGTTTGTCTGTCAGAATGTAGTAATGCTAAATTTTCTAAAACAATTTGGGGGTTCAGGTTAATTGTAAAAAATAATTTCTTTTAAAGGTTAGTTATATAAAATCAATTTTATCTTCAATTATATTAGATGACAATATTTTCAAATAATTTTTTTTATATAAATTGTTTTTTAAAAAGGTTATTTTAAATAAAGATACTAAATTGTATTTTTAATTTTTTTTATGATATGTGATTTGTATTTTGGTCTCAATTTTATAAAATCTATTTGATAATATTATTGAATTTTTATTTAGCGATTGTGAAAATGTAAACGTTAATCATGTTTTAACATGAAATAAATAATATAATAATTGATATTTAAAAATATTTATGATATACTTTACTTTTATTTTATTTTTATATATTAAACAAATAATAAAACGAGATGAGAATAAGATAAAATATAAAGACTTAAATATAATTTTTGTCTTTATAATTTATTATTTTTTCACTTTTAGTACTTATAATTTGTTGTTGTTGTTGTTGTTTTATCATAACATTTTATAATGTTTCAAAATTAATTCTTGTTGTTAACTTTGTTAAAAAAAACATACGTGAAAAAAAAAATGTATTATATTTTTTTCAATGCACCGTTATCATGTAGGTAAATTGATTTTAATTAATTTAAGAATTAAACAAAATTTCAAAATGCACTTCTTTATTGTTATCACTTCATCATATTCTTAACGCACACTTTCTTTAACTCAAGGAATGTCACATTTTGACTATTGTTAGTAGTAGAGTTGGACCTTCGACCTCCATTCTTTAATTAGGTGTCTTACTAATCGTTGCAATGATGGTCATAATTGGTGGTGACAATCTTGATGTCCTGAGCTAACCGACATAATTCTTGTTGGCCTTGGAGAAGGTGACATTGGTGACGACATTAGTGGATTGGTGACGAACATTAGTGGATTGGTGAATGCTTTAGCAAGTGTCTTCATAAAATTTGTGGACTAAAATTATAAAATAAACCCTAAATCTAACTTGTCAAAAAGACATTATGAAGATATTAAAAGTACAATTTAGCCTTAATAAAATTAAAAAAGTATGAAATTATTTTACAACAATTAGTTTTTATTTTAATTAATTAATTATTAATGATAAAATAAAGAATAAAAATAATGTAAAAAATTTAATTAAAATTTAATCATAAATTTTAAAAATATTATTATAAACACATTTTGTTTTTGTTTTGTGTACCATCCCATTTTTTTAAAATATAAATTAGTACAATTAGAATGTTATAAGGGAAATATTTTTATTAATAAAATAAAATGGGGAGAGTTCATAAGAAGATTTTGCGTTAGACTATAGGTTCCACCTGGTGACTAATTCAAAAAGGGGAAAATAGAGAGGGGTTAAGTCATTAAGTGTATTTTGAAAACTTAGAATGCTCACAGGAGGAGATCTAGAGGAGAACACCAAGGGAGAAATATACTAGTGACAAGAGCCACCAAAGAAGCATCGTTCTACAAGAATTGTCACTCTAGGTAGGAGAGTGAGATTATCAATTCCTATGCCTATATAAGGCGGATAAGGGTAGATGAGTGACCCCTAAGCCCCATAGGTTATATGTTTACGTTGTGGTATATGTATCAATACCTTTGTGATTTTGTTGATACTCCAATGATGGATTTGCTATATTGTTATGTTTCATTTATTTGAGTGATGAGTTGGTATTGTTGAATGTTAGGGTTGATATATATGAATTGAGGAATTTGAATGAGATTGTGTGGATCCTGATGATTGATGTTTTGGATGTCTATTGAGTATTTATTCGTTAATTGACTGATTAAATGGAATGAATTGATAATTGCAATGCTAACATGAATGTTGGAAGAGATGAGATGTGCAATCATAGGTCTACGAAGTGTGGATTCTACGACTACGTCAGACATGAAAATGGTCACACTGGGCACGGGATTGCTAGAAAGGTCCTAGACTTCTTGTCGCTAGGCATGAGATGTTATGCCCGACACAATTTGACATTGATTTCATGAAAAGGGTAATGTTGGACACAAACTAGACCACATCAAGCAAGACTAAGACAAAGAGATTCAAGACATTTCTACACCAGGTGCAAGTGACTCTACACTGTATGTGAGTTTGGCAGAGAGGTTCTTGACCTATCTATGCTTGGCGTGAATGCGTTCTCGTTGGGTGTCACGCCTTTTTCCTATTCTAGATGCTTGCTTTGAAAACTAAAGTATTAATTGAGGAACGTTGAAGAGGGTTGACAATGCATAAGAAAGGAAAGAACTAATGAGTATTGATGTGTTTGAGGAGGGAAAACCATAAAGAAGGATCTTGCATCGGTAATGAGATATTAAGGCTTACTTTTAAGATTAGTAATTGTTCAGTAGTTGAATTTTTCATTTAATTATATCTTATTATCAAAATTTTATTGATTCAAAAGTTGTTCTCAAAAAAGGATTGAGAAGAAGAAGAGAAGATTGAGAGACAAAGAGCTCATGGACCTTTTTCCTAGAATCCTCTTTTTAGAAAGATGAGAGAAAGAATTTATGAGATTTTATTCAAAACAGAAACTTTATATATTTTTTCCTTCAAGATCAAATTAAATCTTTATCTAAAAAACCTCCTCCCAACACCACTAAAACTTTAAAGGGATCTTTAAACTCCGAAACTTCTCAGTATTAACAATTCAACTTAATAATATAAAATAATTAGAGATAATATAACACTATTACAACTCTAGTGTTAAACTAAGTTTGTTTGATTAAAATTTGAGAGATCAAAGTCACACTACTACCATATTCAAAATTACAATCTTAAAAATCAAAATTCTACAATTATAATATTAAAGAATAAGAATGCAATTAAGAGTTTTAATTATTATAATATTAATTATGTTCTAATTGAAAAATAAGTTGACAAAACACACTTCATATTTATACTTGATTGGTTGAAAAAATATGGAAGGTCTTTCTATATTGTATGTTAACATTGTGTAACACGCACCATTTTATTTTCTTAAAATGAGGCCTAATAACTTCGCATTAATTTAACAGATCTCTATCACCGTATAGGCTAAGCATGTATACTCTTTCTTTCTTTCTTTTTTCTGTTTTCCCCCTCTTTTTCTTTCATCGATATTCCATTAAATGCGTCCACTATAACTACCCAATTTACTTTTAAGTTTGATTTTATTATTTTATTATTCATAAAAATTACAATAATAATAATAATAGAATTTAAATTTAAAACTCCATATATATTATTCTAACATTTCACTATTGTATCTATCCTAATAGTTGTTTGATTTAATTATAGCGATGAGGTTGATTTTCCTTGCCATTTGCTAGAGACTTCGATCCATTTGAAAAGCAGAAGTCATTAGGTAGCGGATAAGGATGGTGAATTAGTCCAATTCCAACTATTTCTGACTTATTAGCCTTAACTCCCACGGTTAAAAAAAAAATTAAATTCCACTTTATTCTTCTATTTTTTATTTGTAATTTTGATTTCTTTGTTTTAAAATATTTAATCTTTTTATTTTATAAAATATAATATTTTGATTATTTTATTAATTTAATATTTATTGATAATTAAATTTTAACATTATCTAATAATCTATCACCACTTAAGTAATATAATATTTAATGATATAATATACAGTAATAAAAATTTAAAAATAACACAAAATAAATATTCTTTTATATCTATTTTTATAAATTATTGATATTTATTTTATTAGTATAAAAAATATTTGTATTTTTTTCACTATTTTTTCAATTTTTAAATATCATTTTACTAAATGTCATATCATTTAAGTATGAGTAAATGTTAAAACTAAACGATTAGTAAATATTAATTTGATGAGAAGATCAAAATTTCGTATTTTTAAAATTTGAGAAGTTAGTATCTATTTTAAAATAGAAGATCAAAATTGCATATTGATAAAAATAAAATAAAATATAGCCTAAAAAAAATAATAATCTCATATGATAATGATTTGGAATTAAACTATTGACTGATTGTATAACTTTTAATTTACTAAAAAAATTGTTATTAGTATAAATATATTGAGAATTAATATTATCAATTAACATTGAACCAAAGAAATATTAACAATTAATAATAAAATACATTATAGCAATAAACAGTTTTATTAGTATTAACAAAGAAAAAGACACCCTGTGTCTTCACAAAAAGAAAAGAGTAGGTAATTATTTTCAAATGGATGAACAGTTTATTTATTTATTTATACATATATATATATATATACACTTTTTTTTATTTCATCTTTAAAATATATAAAATTTTGATTCTTCTGACAAGTTCAATTTATTAATAATTAAATTATAAACTCTAATATTTGACATTTAGTATAAAAATATTTTAAAAAATAAATAAATATAATTTATTAATAAAATAAATATCAATTCTTCATTAAAATATAAAAAAATAGGATATTTTTATGTCATTTTTTAATTTTTATTTTTAAATATTACATCATTAAATATAAAATCATTTAAATAATCGTACGTTAAAATTTAATAATTACTTAATTAACATACATTAAATTATCAATAAGATTAAAAATTTATATTTTTAAAAATAAAAAATTAAATACTTTTATTTTAAAATAGAGATTAAAATTACAAATTGATAAAAATAAGTCACTATTTATCCTATAATTTAAATTGATTAAACAGTCATAAATTACATAAACGTAGAAGCTTTTGATGGAACAAGGGCAAGGCACAGAGAAGTTTCAAATGAGTTTTTTTTTTTTTTTTTTGTTTCAGTCAACGACAGAGTTGGGCCCACGAAGTTCATAGATGGGGCCCAAGGTTGATGGAAATAGAAGCCCATCCAAAATGTAGTGAAGTGGAGCCTCGGAGATCTTAAGAATTCCCATATCCGGTTCCTTAGCTGGATGCCACCAACCAAGATTCTATTACTCTATATAAGGTTGCTTCTCCTCCCATGATGATTTCAAGTTAGCAGAGCTCAAAATATTCTGCAACTTATTTTTATTTTTATTTTCATTTTTATTATTATTATTTTTGGTTTTAAGAAAAGGCTAACCTTCTGACTTTCCAAAGAAGAGTCTAGTAATACCAATGGATGGAATTTTCGCTTCCATCATTCTCTCTTTGCTTACTATATTTTCATTTATGTTCTTTCCAAAACCAAAAAGAAGAAGACCTCAAAACCAGACAAGAGCACAGCTCCCTCCAGGTTCAATGGGATGGCCTTACATAGGAGAAACTCTCCAACTCTACTCCCAAGACCCAAATGTCTACTTTTCCACCAAACACAAAAGGTTGCTCTCTATGCTATTCCCAACACTCATGTTATATTGAATTTGTATATATACCGTTTATTTTGATAAATTTTCTTTTGAAACACTTATAAAATACAAAAGAAAAATAATAAATTTATTTATAATTAAAATTAACTTGTATATAAGCTAATTTTTATAAGTTTCTTTTAGCTAGCTTCTTCAAAATTTTATTTTGAATTTATGTACAAGTTTATAATATTTTTTGAAAGTTTATTTTTGTCATCGTAAGTTAATACAAATGGTACATGATCGAGTTTGAACTTGTGTTCTCCATGATACGAGTTTGACATTCCTTGCAACTATAAAATCTTACTTTAATGGACATACTTACCTAAAAGGATTCATTGGCACTATAGATAAAATTCTTCTAATGAATCTCTGCTGGCCTTTAGTTTGGCAAGTAAAGTCCCGTGTCAAATTAAAAATTGATGAACTTTGATTAATCACTAAGTGGACAAATAATATTTGATATGAAAATTCTCATCATACTATTGGCTCCGGGTCGAATAATCATGGAAGTGTGATCTCCTATCTATCATTTTACAAATAAAAAGAAAATATTAACTCTATGAAGGGTTTAGCTTTCACTTGGTTAAGAGTAGTTGTAAACTATTTAGTACTGGGTTTGGTTCCATCAAGGAAATATGATATATTAGCTCTTCCTAAATCTTATTACATGAATGAAGTTGTGAAAGTAACTAACCAACCAAACATAATTTCATGTTTGATTCCAGGTATGGTGAGATATTTAAGACCAACATCCTGGGTTGTCCCTGTGTGATGCTGACCAGCCCCGAGGCTGCACGCTTTGTGTTAGTGACTCAAGCTCACTTGTTCAAACCAACATACCCCAAAAGCAAGGAGCGTTTGATCGGTCCTTTTGCCCTGTTTTTCCACCAAGGAGAATACCACACGCGTTTGAGGAAGCTTGTTCAGAGGTCACTGTCCCTTGAGGCACTTCGCAACTTGGTGCCTCACATTGAAGCCTTAGCCTTATCTGCCATGAAATCTTGGGGTGACGGCCAACTCATTAACACGTTTAAGGAAATGAAAAGAGTATGTACATAGTATTTATGTTAATTCATTGACATTAGACCAATCATTGGGTCCATTATTATATTCAAGCACTCGTGAGTCTAGCATAACTGGCATTTGTTTATGTATATTTGATCAAGTGTGTAATGCAATGAATGTGTAATAATTTATGTGGTCCATGGTCCACCCTTGAATGCTTGCTTGCAGTTTTCTTTTGAAGTTGGAATTCTTACAACTTTTGGCCATCTAGAGCCACGTTTGAGGGAAGAGCTAAAGAAGAATTACCGGATTGTGGACGCAGGTTACAATTCCTTCCCAACGTGCATCCCAGGAACTCAATATAAAAAGGCATTGTTGGTAAGTAATATTAATTATCCTCGGAGTCCATCCTAGTAGTTGAGAAGTGTTGTTACCAGGGTTTATGTTTGAGAGGGACCCAATTTTTTTAGTCTACCATATTTTTTTTAGTTTTATATTTGTAAGCATTTTAACACCTTGAATTCATATTTTATTCTTAAATATTTTTACAAAATAAAATTGCACATTTATGTTTTAACTTTCATTCTATTTTTATTTATTTATGAAAAATAACTTTTTTTTTTGGTTTTTAATTATTAGAACTATATTTTCAGTTTCGTATTATATAATGACACTATATATATATATATATAAATCTGCACTCAATAATGTATTATATTCACTCTTTTAGTTTGATATTTCCAAAAAAAATAAAATAAAAAGAAAATTGTACTTAATGAAATTTGTAATTAATACTTGAAGAAATTATTTTAAAAAATTAGGTTTAAATATGTTTCTGGTCCTCTTAATTATAACAATTGTGTGATTTTAATCTTTTAATTTTTAGTTACGTAATTTTAATTTTTTAAGTATAATAATTATACAAATTTTTACTTACTTCAGTTATATTTATTAGCAAATTTATCATTTAATACATGAATGCAAATTATAATATATATGTAACTTAAATAGTTTAAAAATGGTATAATTATGATATTTGAAAGACTAAAATTATACAAATTGCAATACTAAATGAGCTAAAATCGTTTAACTAAAATTAGAGACTAAAATTGCTCAATACTAAATTTAAATGAGCTAAAATCTTACATTATAATACTAGAGAAATAAAAGAAAATGCATTTAAGCCAAAAATTAAAAAAAAAAAGAAAGAAAAATAAAGAGAGAAAAAAGTACACTATATACTATAACTATACATGTACCATCTAAAACTATATTAAACACTTGATATAATAAATAAGATGTATACTTTTCTTAATAAAATTACATGTCTATTTTTTATGAATTATATTTTTATATTATAATACTTATATTTAACAAGACTTAATTTATTGTTTTGCTTGAGACTCAAAATAATAATACTGACTCTGATTGTGCTTAACAAAATGTTTATTTGTGACCACTAAGGTTAGCCTAGTGGTTGGGTGGGGAGGGATTGGGGTAGTTAGAAGCATGAGGACCTAGGTTCAATCCTCATTGTGGTCATCTTTGTAATTTTTCCTATCTTTATAAAAAAAAAAAAACAAAACGTCTATTTAGATATAAGTTTAGAATAGTTGTTTGAAAATTTTTTTATCAAAAAAGAAAACTTTTAATTTCGATGAAAAGAAATCTCAAAATCATTTATAAGATTATATTTAAGCAAGCTACATTCTTCGACCAACGGGGTTGGATTTAGCAGAAAGGGTCAAAATCTCACGACATGGTGAGTTAAGATTTGAGGTTTTGTTAGAAGTGTCCGCATTTAGTATTAGATACTGTTTGTGGAAAAATAAAAAAGAATTTTTTAATGCTTCTCTTATTTTTTTTGGGTTGAATGAAAGTATGAAAACCTGTTAACACACGTGTGTATATTCTTTATAGGCTAGAAAGAGACTTGGGAAGATTATAAGTGACATAATTTGTGAGAGGAAGGAGAAGAAGTTGGTTGAAAGAGATCTCTTGAGCTGCTTACTGAATTGGAAAGGAGAAGGGGGAGAAGTGTTATCTAATGACCAAATTGCAGATAACATTATTGGGGTGCTTTTCGCTGCTCAAGATACCACAGCTAGTGGCATGACATGGGTTATCAAGTACCTGCATGATGAACCGAAACTTCTGGAGTCTGTAAAGGTGTGAATAGGATCCATTAAGAAAAGAGAAGTTTAACTTGAACTTATCTTTTATTGTGAGAAAAAAAAAAGTGTTAAGATGTTTATGTGAGTAACAATGACTATAATTTGTGGTAATGCTCACTTTGTAGGCTGAGCAGAAGGCAATTCACAAGTCTAATGAAGGTAACCTACCACTGAGTTGGGATCAGACCAGGAACATGCGAATTACTCACAAGGTACACCGTTAATGAAATGTTTCAATGTCACACCTAGCTAAACATTTCAGGCTTTTCTAGGATTTGCATCAGTGTAATATACGTTATCTGTTAGATAAACTTCTCTGTAAGCGATTATAAAAGTAAAAAATAAGAAGATAACTTTTTATAAAAGTTCTTTCACTTGACTTGTTTAAGAAACGGAGGTGCATAAATTGATTTTAATTGGTTCAACAAAATAAAAAGTAAATGAACAAATGTTACAAGTCTTAACTGATTGTAGTGGTTTAAGCAAAGACCAAGATCTGACTATGTGAGTTTGTTGCAAGTGGCTAATAATGGGAAACTGTGGACTTGGTCAGGTTGTGTTAGAGAGCTTGAGAATGGCAAGCATTATATCATTCCCTTTCAGAGAAGCAATAGCTGATGTGGAGTACAAGGGTAAGAGGAATGTTTACTATGTTTTGCAGGACTTAACATTATTCGATATGAAACTATTTCTTGCACCATCCAAAGTGACAAGTATTGTGATCTCTGGTGCTAAAAACTATACTAACTGCAAAATAATATTCGTTTTATAATTTATGGTCTCATCTGAATTAATGACTCACACAAGAATTTGAAACAGGGTTCCTAATACCAAAAGGGTGGAAAGCGATGCCTCTGTTCAGAAACATTCATCGCAATCCAGAATTTTTTCCAGAGCCTCAAAAATTCAACCCTTCAAGGTTTGAGGTATGCAAGATTGAACACTCTAAGGGTGAAAAAAAAAATGTAATCATAATGCATGGATAAGGCTAATTCCCTCTCTAATGAATCTTATTACTATGTACGGCAAAAGACATTTCATCATTTCCAAACAGAAGAATAATTCTTTACTTTTGTTGTTTGTCATATAGGTCGCACCAAAGCCCAATACTTTCATGCCATTTGGTAGTGGAGTACATGCCTGCCCCGGCAATGAGCTTGCTAAGTTGGAGACACTGATTATGATCCATCATTTGGTCACCAAGTTTAGGTACTACAATTTAATTATTTAATTAATAAAAGAAAAAAAAAAGAGGAATAAATGGATTATTTATTAACACCAAGGAGACAGCTTAAAAATATCTAATAGGACATTCTAAGTGTGTGGTTTAAAGAAATATAATGTCTAAGGGCTCATCAAGAAAGAAAAAAAAAATCAATTTCACATCTCTTCACATACATTCTAATATAAAATTTTCGACTAAAATATGTTTGAATACATATTAAAAATACTCAAACACTATAATTTGGGTGTTTAAAAATATATTTTCACAACCTAATTAAATCAAATAACTTTGGTTTAGACATGAAAAATTACGTCTTTATCGCATGATCAAACAAGCGGTGTTACTTTTCTGATTAGATTTGGATCAAATCGTACTTAAAGTAGAACCAAACATGCACCGAGCCTAAAATTATTTTGGACACGCGTCCTGATTGCCTTCAATGGCTCAAAATCAATTATACCGAAAATTGAGAACAAAGGACAATGAGTATGTTAGTAACACCAAGGAGACAGCCTAAAAGCATCAATATAACTTGAAGAAAGTTTGAAAAAGGTAGAAAAATTAGGTGAATAGAAAGGATTGTGATGATGGTAGTACATATGTCATGTGATTATATTACTGAAAGGCTTTGTGCACAGGTGGGAAGTGGTAGGATCCAAGTGTGGGATTCAGTATGGCCCATTCCCCTTGCCACTGAATGGACTCCCAGCTAGATGTTGGAGAGAATCTACCAACTAGAAAAGCAACATGGGAAGAAGAAATGCATGGTATCAACGTAGCTGAGAAGCAATCCACTTTCCAATGTCACCAAAAAAAAAAAAAACTTTTATCTTTTTCTTTTTCTATTTTGATTCTGTAATTTTATTTTATTTTATTTTTATATTTTTCCTTGGTGGGGGCACTTCATTACTTGCTCCTCTATCCTTAATCCTTTTCCACCCCACAAAGAAAGAAGGGAAACTCCTCTACACGGGGTGGTGCTTTATTTTTCTATTCAAGCGTGAGTTTAGATTATCTTTTTCAGTCAAGGAATTTTCCTCTCTTCCTCCATGCTTGCGTTACATTTATTTAAGTTGTGCGTGTGTGATTTAAATCAAAATTGAAAGCAATAGTGAAGCAAATTCGCAACCTGTTTGAGAAAGAAATGGTTAAGAGTAGTGGAGTACAAAGGACACTAGCATACCTTGATGACACATGAGTGACTCATGGTTAAGAGTAGTGTGTGCATTGTATGTGTTCTCACTACGGGACAAGTAACCAACATGTAACATAATCTGACTCTAGCTTCAATTCAACCTTCCAGCGTGTTCATCCTTAATGTGGTTGATAATGTTGTTGTTATTATTTTTTTTAAAAATATGTTTTTAATAAAATGTACCTGCTTTTTTTTTTTAATTTAATCTCTAAAATTTTTGTTTAACTTTTGATTCCGGTAATATTTTAGTCTCTAAAATTTTTGTTCAACTTTTGATTCCAGTAAGATATTAATTTTTTAGTTTTACCGTCACTTTTGATTTGGATAATATATTAAATAGTTTGATACTATTAATTTAAAGAGAATTTAAGTCTCATCATATTTGACACGGCATCCAAAACAATAAAAAAAATTGCAGTAGAGATTAAAAAACGGAAATTATAAAAATCAAAAGTTAAGCAAAATATTTTTAGGAACCGAAAGCAATAAATAAGAATATTTTAAAGACTAAAATTATATTTAAATTTTTTTTTACATAATAATATATGAGAAAGGAGATTAACAAGATTCAATATAGTTAATAGATAATTGAGTTCTTTAAATATGTTGACATGAATTTGATATTTTGTTCAGACATGCAAAAAAATATTTTGTTGTGAGAAATCAAATTCACTTCAATGATCTCAATATCTCAAAAAGAAATCCATCTTAATTATAGATGAGAGAATATCCTTAGTGCGAACGAAAAATAATGCAACAAGAGAAGTATATATACTAATAGTTACCATCTAGTGTGATATGATTGCTTGATATTCATGTCCCTTAAAAGACGTAGTATTTAGTTGAGAGTTTCATTTCTTGGCCAAGTATGAAATAACATATATCACGAAAAGTCAATCTCTTAAATACATTTTTTTTATTTTTTATAAGCAAACAAGATTTAAATTATTGGGAGTACAAGGAGTACTCCAACCCGTTACAATAGAGTTCAAAACCAAAACAAAAATTATGAGATACACAAACCCGGATTATAATACCAACCAATGTAACTAAAAGAACAATCGGGGACAGAACTAGTAATCCACTTCCATGAACGCAGTTTAATGCTGTCCAACACTTCCTTGTAATCCATAACACCTTGCTGAAAGATTATAACATTCCGATGAAGCCATAGTGACCAGATTACAGACACCCAAACCACTTGAAAACACTGAGAGCGTTTTTTATATATATCAAGATTCGTCCAATATAGGTAGAGAGAAGTTAAAGAATTTGGAAGGACCACCGCAACCTCCAACCAATTAGCAACAGCTAACCAAATATTAAAAGCCATTGGACACATTAGAAAGAGATGAAGAGGGTCTTCGATAAACAGAGAGCAAAGAGAGCATAAATTGTTATCCAACTCCACACTACAAACTTGTAACAATGATTTGCATGGGAATGCATTCATGAACACCTGCCAACAGAACACCAAGCACTTGACAGGAGCCTTGCATTTCCAAAGACTTTTTATGACTAGGTGAAAATCTGAGGAATATCTAAGTTCTCCACCCAGCGAGCGCTGCAGCCAAAGGTACGCACTTTTCACTGAGAATACACCATCCTTATCACAAATTCATCTCCAATGATCTTGCTTAGAAGAGAAAATTTGCAGACACTGAAGCATTTCCAACAAGGTATTCACACTCCTTACTTCATGGACAAAAAGTTCTCTTCTCCAATTAACCTGCCACACCCACCTAGATCCCTCCCAAGTTCCATTATGCCCCACCATTGACAACGGATCAAAGGCAAAGGAGTACAAACGAGAAAAGACATCCAACAAGCGCAAACCATCTATCCACGTATCCTCCCAAAATCGGGTCGTAGTGCCATCTCCAATACAACGTTCAATCTTTTCATCCAACCAAAAATTTCCTTGTTATAGCACCCAAACTATATCCTTCCACCCAGGGACGGAGCCAGGATTTCAATACTGGGGGGCCGAGAATTGGAATGATCAAATGAGGCGCTACATTTTTTTAAAAAAAAAAAAATTCCAAAGTGATACCACATAGCAGGCCGTACCAGAAGTCCAAAAGTTGAATAAAAAAATAAATTTGGGTTATTCATTTAATTATACATATGAGTTTATATTAAAAATAGGGGGTGCCATATAGTAATATATATGTATATAAAAAAAAATTAAAATTGTTGGGGGGGCCGTGGCACCCGTAGGTCCCCCCTTGGCTCCGTCCTTGGTT